TTTTTAATGTGGTACTGGGTATTGAACTCAGGACCCTGTGCTTGCCAGGCAAGTGCTTATTCTACTGAGCTATCTCCCCAGCCCCTGGATTTCTTCTTGGAGTGGTGGAAATGTAGCTTGGAACTTGATAGTTGATATATACTCTCGCTCTCTATGGTGTCTGTTGAGATCACATCCATGCTAAGCATGTGCTCAACCACAGAGCTACATCCCAGCCCTCATATTTCTTTTTGAAAAGTGGGGGGGGGGCACTCTCCTAAGATCTCTTCTTCCAAAAACGTCAAAATGCATTATAAAATAATAGCTGTGTGTTTATGAATCTGAGCGTATTAGGAAATGTTCCCTTGTTTAATTATAAACCAAGTTGGAATGTTGGGAGATTTTAGTAATCTGACAGCAAACTTTAAGAGGATTAACCTGAGTTCCCCGGTGTTAATATCAATTTAAACTGCATCATTCAAAAACTACATAGTCATATTGAAGTAATTACAGCAATGACTTCATGAAAAATTACCAATTAGATTAATTGTCTTTTAAGGTCGTCATTTAAAATACCCTGTATTTATATGATGCTCTTACTTCCTGAAGTACTGTACTGTGCCTCAGGACCTAATGTATGGAAGTATCACATCTTTAAGCACTTAATTAGAGGCAGAAAAGTGGGTGGGATTGGACAGGAATGTATTAAGCAACGCTAACATTCCAGGTTTGAGCACAAAAGGAAGCAGGATTGAAGAAATCTAATGCTAGTCTTCTACGCAGTTAATTGCAAGAATTAAAATTACTACATCCTGGAGCATAATTTGAAAAACGCAACATACGTTAAAATCTACATTACCAAGTGTAGATTGTGAACAGAAAACAGAACTCAACAACCAGAAGTAAAGTTTTGCTTTTTAAGCCAAAAGAGAGGAGGAAAGAGTTGAAATCCCCCCAGGGTAGACCCTCCATTAATGTAAGCAGTTAATTTGGACGGGGTGGTGGGTAAAGATTCCCGTGGCGACCCCGAAAGCGAGGGGTGCTCGTTGTTTTGCTGCACACCACTACTGGCGGTAATTCGCCTTCACTGTTACCATCCTAGTTGATGGCATTTTTCTGAATCCAAACGCGTGGCTTCTGTAAAACTTGCAGGATTCTTTCGTCGTGGCAACGCGTCTAGACTTCGCCCTATAAACTTCCAATCAACAATCCGGATGCGGAGGGCGCCGTGTGAGGTCTTGCCTCGTTTCTCCAGGGCTGCGCACCCTCGGGCCTCGCTCTCGGGAGGACGGCAGTCTCCTCGGGACCCGGTTCCACCCCCGGCAGCAGAGCTCGGAGCGCGCCCCAGGGGTTCGGGTCCCTTCCCCACCCCCGCCGCCGCCGCGGCCGCAGCGCAGCCGGGTCCCCCACCCCCTGGGTCGAATCGCGGCGCGGCTCCTTTAACTCCGCGCGCCGCCCGGGGTGCGCCCAGCGCCGCTCCCCTCCCCCACCCCGAGTTTCAGGTGAATGGGTCACCGAGGGAGGTGACCGCGCCGCGCCACGCCTGCCAGCGAGCGCCCACCTCCCGCTCCCTCCTTCCCAGCGCGAGTCCGGGGCGCGCGAGCAGAGCGCACAGGAGTCCGCGGGGGCCACAGGTGGGTGCGGGCGGGGGGCGGCGGTGCGCATGCTCGGCGGGGGCCGCG